GCTGCGGGGAGGGGCTGGGTAAGCCCGTTCCCTGCCGGGGAGCCCCGGGGGGAGCCGTGGCGGGGCTGAGGGGCTGTTGCTCTCTGGGTGTATCAGGGTTTACCTCGGAATCCCAAAGCTTTTCCCCGTGCAGGGTTATGAGGCAAAGACTAGTCTCACTTAGTTTGTTGGTGGTGCATTAATACTTTTTACTCCTTTTCTGCCCAGTTCTGCCCTCAGCTGGGGCTCAGCTCGGTTCAGTCCTCAGCGGCCGGTGGAATGTGTCGAGCTGGGCTTCCTGCCGGGTGGGAGAGTTACCTCGGGAAGCTGCTCTGGAACCCCAGCTGTGCCGAACCTGGGAGCTTGTACAGGTAAGGGCAGGGCCCGTTCTCACAGAGAGAGTTGGGTTTGGCTGTGGGAAGAGGGAACAGAGTGTGTGCCTGTTAACTCCAAGGACAGCCAAAAGCTGGGAGAAATCCCCAGCAGGTTTGGTGACGTGAGAGCAGCTTCAAAAGACCTCAGCTGCTGGAGAAATGCCCACGAGAAATGTCCAATCTTCCTTGTTTGCAAGGATGGGGGATTGCTGTGCTCTCTAGCAAAAAAAGGTCTCCTTGCTCTCTCAGCAGGATGTCGAGTGCCACCATGTCTCTGAGGTCACCCTTTCTCCTGTTGGGAGAGCATGAGGCAGGTGGAAAGGATCCCCAGGCATCTACGGGCTCAAGGGACTTGTATGACTGCAGCTTGCCTTTGGCACCTGTAGGATGGACTTTCAAGGTACCACTGGGAATGTGCCAGCTCATGCAGGACAAATCAGCATTGCTTCCACGGGTTTTCCAGGCTTTCTGAAGGAGTGCTAGCAGTGTTGGAACTGAGTTCTGATGGGTTTCTGGTGAGTCATTGCTCTGGTCTTGTCCCTGTACCTCTCCTGTGTGCTGAGTTCAGCTGGAAGGAGATTTTCCAGGGAGCAGGAATCTTTCTCAGTGCAAGAAGTTGCACTTGATGAATTTCCCTTCAGAGATGATGCCCTGGGCAGGGGAAGTGCTCAGCAGGGAGGCTTTTTCCTCCTGGGCAGGAAGAGAGGCCAGTACCCTTCCTGCCCAAGGCCCAGCCCAGCAGGGCTTCCAGGAGCTGCTGGTGTGGCTGCTCTTTGGGTTTTCAGCTGTGCCCGTGGGATGGTGATGTCGTGTTCCTGCCTGTGCTCCAGGGCAGCCAAAAGCCCCAGTGCAGCCCCTGGGCCTTTTTGGGAGCCTGAGGTATTGCAGCGCTGGGGATGGCTTTGGTTTCCTTCTCTCCTCCAAGTAAGACTGTATGGGGTAGTCTCTGATCTCCCTGTTTTTTGTATCATAACTGAAACTTGGAAAAAAGTTCCCCTTGTGTAATTTACCCACTGACTTGTCTGGGTTGAACCAACAGTGGCAGATTGTTGTAGTGTGCAGGTTATTACTGTTTGTGTCTGAGCAGTTTGGTGTTTATTTACAGAGGGAGGCCATGAAATGTTGTGGTATTTTTGTTCCAGTATTTGGAGGTATTGCCCTGCATTAGTTGATTTCTGCCTCTCTCCCTGATATCTGAGTTTTGAGGTGTAACAGAACTAGTAGTTTTTGCAGTGGGATGTACCCTAGAAACTCCACGGAGCTGAACCAAGGGATTTAAAGGGACTAAGGAAGCAAAGTAAAATAAAAAATGAAGAAGGGAACTGAGGCAGCAGCCAAGCAACACCAAGTTACTCTGCAACCAGGTGAATTGTTTGAAGCTGATAAGGTGGTGACTTAGAACTTTGGGGGCTTCAGGCACAGGTGACCACCAGAGACCCTCAATGTAGCCACTCAGAGACCTTCTAAGGGGGTGTGTGTATGGTAACAGGTGTTGGGGAATGTCCTGGATTCTGAAGAGGAATGCAGGGAACAAAATGAACCCTCATGTAGTGCTGAGCCCTCCCATCAGCTGCAGTGGAGACACCTCTGTGTGCACTGTGGGAGCCGA